TTTTTTTTTTTTTTTTTTTTTAATATATGATATTAAATTTAATGTGTGGATTAAAATGGGTGTTTGTAATTTTATAGATTGAGGAAGAAGGAGAAGAAGCCATTGATGCTCAAGCTGTGAAAGAAGCAGTAGTTCAAGCTATAAAGATCTGGAGCCAAAGCGGTGAACAAGATTAAAAACATCCTTAATTTCTCCAACTTGTTCCAATTGCGGCTGTTTTTTTTGGTTTTGTTCTTACCTGTCTGTGATTGTAATGCAGTAAAAAGTAATCAATGGAACAACCGATTGCTTAATCTAAAATATTGATATGAACATGGTAACTCCCACTATAAGATTCATGCGCATGGTTTGTTGAAAATCATGAAAGGTGTCATTTTTGGAGATGAAGTACGAAAAGGAACCATTTTTGTTATGCTTTTTGGTTTTGGGTTTGTAAAGGTGGGAGCTTTTTCATCATTATAGAACTGATATCATTTCATCATTAAAGGGTACGTAGAAATAAAGAAAGAAAGAAAGGCTTTGAATGATGAAGAAATGGGGATGTTTCCAAGAATTGTGGGTATAATTTTACTGTTCATGTTTTTTTACTTTGCTGGAGGATTGTTGGTCGAAGCAGAAGAAGAGACTGGTTTTTTTCATTGCCATGCTTTCTGAACATCAAAAAGTCATTTCACGTGAAATGAGTATGCATTCACGACAAATTTTCATTTTGGCTACCATTTTCTGACATCTTCTCCTATCTCTCTCATATCATAGGTTTGTCGTTCGAGTTCACGTTAGCTAGTTAAGAAGATGATCCTAGGTATATAAGTAAAAAATACTATCTTCGTTGGCACGAAACTTTTTTTTAGTAAACCCAAAACGAAGTTACGAAAGCTTATGTGAGAACTCATATTAATTAGAGAGGCCAACGAAGCATTCTTTACAATGGTTTGGAAACTTTCTCCTAACATATCAGAATCTTGAAGGGAAGCCCAAAAAAGAAAGTGCAAAGCCAAGGTGGTGTGGTGGCGTGCTGGACTGTTACCAATGGTATCAAAGTCAGGCACCATACGGTATGCCATCGAGGATTGGATTTTGAGATCACACATCGGCTGGAGAGAGGAACCCATATTCCTTATAAGGGTGTGGAAAGTGTGTCATCGAAGATTGGATTGTGAGATCCCACATCCCATAGAGAGAGGAACCCATATTCCTTATAAGGGTGTAGAAACCTCCCCCTAGTCAGTGTGCTAGAATATTAGAAATAGTATCAGTGAGATCACATATCGATTGAAAAAGGGTACCCGCATTTTTTTTTATAAGAGTGTGAGACTCTTTTCCTACCAAATACGTTCTATAACATTGAGAGAAAGTCTAAAACGGAAGGCTGACAAATTCAAAGTGGACAATATCTCTCACGGTTATAGATTTAATGTTTAATTTGTTTTATTATATTAATAAATCAGTAACCCAGATTAATGGATTAATGAGATCATAAGTAACCCTCGTGAATGCCGTAAAGCATTGCCGGTTATTCCAACGTTAATATATAATTATTTGATAATTAAAAAGAATTAACATGAGTAATTATTTAAGTACGGAAATTATATACAACAAATGCATATGAGAGTGAGTTCATCTCCAGGAAACATGGAAATTGTTCTACTTTATACTATATATAAATTAATAGAATTTTATATGGGTAAGGAATCCCATATTGAAAAGGACAGTGGAACGTAATTAAATTATTAAGCTTCTGAACAAACCCTATTAAGCCTATAAGAATGAGATTAGGGACGGTAAACGATTTCGTGGTCGGTGCAAAATCTTGAACATTGAGTTAGTATTTAATTCATTTGAATCTTATACTAGGTTAGTATTTGATTGTTTCATAATGACATGATTCACTGGACAAATCACTAAATTTACTCATATGGTCTAGTAATCAATGTATTATTAAATGATTACAAAATTAAAAAATAGGTTATGAGAATGATCCACACATGTGACTTTTAATTAATTATACAAAAATAAAAGGTCTTTTTTGCAATTGTCACCACACCAAGGACAGCTGTGCAAAAGCGCGTCTTATTATTGTTATTAATTAGAAAATGATATTTAGAATTTATAAAATATATGAAAAAAAAAACCTAAAAATTTGGATCAAGAAAAATTGACCTATTGAATTCAAGCAGAATTGGGTCTGTTTTTCTTGGCGTCCATTAATGAAGCTCTTGTAACCTGGACAGAAAGATGGGGATTCTTGAGGGCGAAGGCCTCAAATCCAGAGGAAAACACGATTTCGTCCATGTTTCTAACAATGAAATCCAAGGCGTTTTCCTTCAACGCTCTGCACGAGCAAACTTCTGCAATTTCCAACACATCCAGAGCGTTGTCGCAGTTCATCGATCTCAACATGTACCGCTCGCAAAACCTCTGCAAATACGGAATATCGTATTTATCGGCCGCTAGAGCCAATGAATAAACGTGTTTCTCCAGTTTTTCTTCCGCCAAATCGCCTCTGTAGAGGAACTCGAGAAGCGATTCCACCTCCTCGTGACTTAACTCCGGCAGCGTAATGGCTTCCATTGGAGCCGCTTTGCAACCGTCCGATTCGAGTAAGTTTTTGAAGATTTCTGATCTTGTCGCCTGTAATTGTAACGATTTCTTAGCGATTATTAAGAATTTGGATCGGATTGATGGATAAGAGGATTCAATTACCAGTAGGGCTCTGTGAGCGGAAACGGAAGGGGACGCGGCGAAGCCGGATTTGAGTTCAATATCGGTGTGAATCCGGTGGCGGAAAGCAGCCGAAAACTCGCCGAGGTAAACGATTTTTTCTTCTAATTCTTCTTCTCTGTTTTTCAAATCCATTATCCATTCTGAAGCATTCATGAGTGTCTGCAGAAGAAGATCAAACAAACCTAAATGAAAACCATTAATTTTTGAATTCCAATTATTTTATTTTTTTAAATTCGTGAGATATTTAATATTTTTTAAAATTAATTTCTCTATTAAAATGAAACAACATCGGCCCATTTAACAAAAACTGGGCCTTAAAGAAAAGCCCATATATATCATACTTGTGATGAACTCAATAAGAAAAAAATTGAGAAGGGAAGAACTTGCCTTGCAGGAGGAGGCAACATTAATGGTAGCTTTATTCGCTGGTTTATCAGATTGAAGCTTGTTTATGAGATTGATCAGACACTTAGCTCCGTCGTAGCATGACCCACAAATGGTATTCCGCGGCGGCCGCAATATCACCGGCAAGGAGCTGCAGATTGAGCAGTCCATATTCCCTCTTTTCTCCTTCTTCTACAGAGAGAATTTTCCAAATCAGCAGCAACCAGAAGAGGGATGAATTTGAAACCCGATGTCTTGGGTTTAAAGAAACAGGAATAAGGTGGTTGTCTATCTCTCTCCTTTTTTATTTATTTATTTTATTTTATTTAGTTGGTGCTCTCAACTTAAAGGCATAAAAATAAATAAATTGTTGAACAAATGGAAATTGAGTTTGTTAAATAATTATTGAATAATGTTTGTTGGTTTACCCTGTAATTATAAAGAAGAATCTAATTTAATGATTGACTTAATTGGGTTCCATATGTTTTTTAAAATTTTAATTGAGGTGAAATGACCATCCTGCCCTTCAAACTTGTTGGGTGATTGAGTGTGCTTTAAAGAAGCGGAATAAACAAAAGGGTTGGAAATGGAAAAGGACTTTCCAACCTCACCACAGCCAATACCTTTGAGGCAAACACGTCTTTTCCTCTTTTTTATTATTTTTTTTTATTTTCTTAACTATTTTTATATTATTTATGGTTTAAAGAATAATAAAATCTAAAATTAACATTATTATATGAAAACAAATAATTAAGTAACTTAATATTTTAATTAAAGCAATAAGGGATTAAAAAAATACATAATTAGTTATGTGATTTTAATTTATGGATATGATTCTTATTATTATTATATATGTCCGAGTTCTAACAATAAATTATAAAACCTTTCAGATTTTAATTCAAACTCTGTAATCCACGTTAATTAAAAAGATGGAATCTAATATTCTTCATTTAATTTACAATAAATGATTCATCCCTTGGAAATCCAGTCTCGGCTTATCCACTTCATTGTCCTCCCGGTACGACGGCGGGCCTGGGAGCTTGAGATCGGACGACGGCGGATTTGTTCTCGTAATAGTGGTAGACGGCGGCGCCGGATAGAACCGCCAACGTCAGTGCCTGAGCATGCATCCTATAAAACAAAGATTCCGATTAGACGTTTTTTCTTTTGAAATAAATGAGAGATTTGGAGGGGATGTTAGCTAGCGTGGATAAGTCGGAGGCTTGGCTTGAGGGGAGTTGTTGATCGGTATAGGCGAGGGATGCTCCGATCCCAGATGCCCACAGTGCTCCTGTAAGAAAAAACAGAGAGAGATTGAATGAAAGGAGTATTTTGGCATCTAGAATAAGGCTAAAGATGGTATTGAAGAGTTGCCCATGCTGGTGAGTTTGTGTTGGGAACCCAGGCTTGAATAGCTTCCATTGTTGTTGTTTTTGTTGCCTTAAACTCAGTTGTGTGTGCAGGTTGCAGTGAGCAGCACTGAAGCAGGAAGAGAAGAAGATTATATTATATATATATATATATAAAGAGAGAGAGAGAGAGAGAGAGAGACTGAGGGGTGCGACCCCAGCCCCTTGGTTTTACAGAGATTCCTCTGTTTTTCTTGGAAACAAGAGGCTTTACCACTTTCATATCCCACTCTCAGCCCTTGGATGCTCCTCCAAACCATGGTTTCTGCCAATCCACCGTAGTACCTATTCCACATTTTTCTTTTTCTTTTTTAAATAAATAAATATTTTTTTAATCTCATGATCGGATAAATGCAAGGCTACAATAATTTAAAAAAAAAAAAAAACTTTTAAATTTTGTGTTCTCCATTAATTTTAGATTAAGGTGGTTAGTAATTTGTTTCAAATATAATTTTAATTATTTAAAATTTTTCATTAATATCCTACATTTTTTTTATAAATTTTTTAAAAATTATTTAGGGTCAATATCATATTTAAAAAATACTCATACTTTCGAGAAGTAATACCAACATTTTTAACTTTTATAAAAAAATATTTAAAAGTTATTTCCGTCAATATATTGACGGAAATCATATATTTATGTCTCATAGATCATCTCCCCCTCAGTTTTCAGGATATTAATGGTGATTTTTTTTTTATTTGTTAGTTAATGGATATTAATATTACATTCAAAAGTTTATGAGTATTTTTTTAAAGTTAGTTTCGTCCCTCTCCCAATTTTAAGAATATTTTTGAATTTTTTAAAAAATTTAAACGTATTTTTTTCTTAAGTTTTTAAAATTTTGAAAATTAAGATGTTTTTGAAACTGAGTTTAAATGTATTTTAAAAATAAAATATTAACTATTCATATTTAAAATTAAATGTAAGAGAATTTTTTAAAGTTTAAATGTTTTTTTTTCAAGGTAGAAGTGAATTATTAAATTTTTTGAAATTCATACAAAGTTAATAGTGAGGCCCAGGCTTTGGACAAAATGGTAAGCCCAAAACGTACGTTAAGGCCCATAATATTGGCCCATCGGATGCCGAACACAAGATTCCCCACCGGCCAGAAGGCAGAAGCGCCAAGTTCATTTCGCGCCCGACTACACTCAGCCTCGCAATTCTTCTCGTCCAATTTTCAATTTCAATAGCATTTTCCCGCCACTGTCACTTCGATCTTCCTCCGCTCAAGTTCTTCAGCGCATCTTCTTCACCATGAAGATTATTGAACGCTTCTTTCTTCCCCTGTGAAATGTGAAGGACTAGAGATGGAATCCCAGAAACAAAATCTCAGTGCTCGAAAACCCTTCTCGGATTGTACCAATACCATCGTCTCCTCGCAATCGTCTGCTTCCAATTTCTCCGCTCCAATCAAACCGTGCAAGCGTGTAATTAAGTCTGCGGTTGAAGATGATGTCAACATTCAGAAGAAAGGCGAGCCAAGTTTTCCGTCTGAATCTACATCCCTTAATTTGCGAGTTTCAAACCCTAGTTCTGATTCTCTTCCTACAGAACCTATCTCTGATTTTAATCCTGTAGAAACAAACCCTACTTCTGATTCTCTTCCTCCAGAACCTAGTTCTCGCCGTCTTCCTACGGAAGCCTCCACTCCTTCGCGGCGTACTGATTTGTCGTCTCGTTCAGGTAATGGTTGTAATTTCTGGTATTCGTTGCTATCGTTGTTTGGTCCTTGATTCTTTTGGTCGGTTTAGGTTCAGCAACTGTTATTCCCTATTTCTCAAAATAGTTCAGTTTACTTGAAATACTACGTTGGAATTAAGGATTACAATCTATTTTGGGATTGTTAGAAATATTATGCAGAGGAGATTTGTTGTTTTACTGTTATGCTTCTTGTGTGCGGTGTTGAAATTTCTGCTTGTGAAAGAGTATTCTTCTGATACGTATGATTATATGTACTAGGAAATTCAATATTTGGGATTTTTTATCTTCAATTTTTCCATGGCTTGAAGCATTGAGTATTATATTACGCTTTGACGTCAGGAACCGATCGCGTTCCGGAGCCCCAGTCCTTCTACAGTCGAAGGTGCCCTACGAATAAAAGGAAGAGCGTTGAGATAGCAGTTCCACCATTTATTTTCTCTACCGCATCGAAAATCCAAACTGGGTATGAAGCTCTTTGCACTTTTCTCCATATTTGAGACAAAATCTCCTCGCGCATTTAAATCTCTGATGCGCTTAATGGATTCAACCAGAGGAATTTAATTGTGGGTTCACAACGCCTAATGATAGTGTTACAATGCTATTGGGAATACGATGGTTGTTAAGTTTCATAGAAGAAATTTGCCTTCTCTCTGCAATAATTATCAACCTGGGCGGCCCCTGCCCTACTTTTTGGAAAAATTAAACGGTTCTCTGGTCCAGGTTTTGGAAATTTTTTACTGTTCTAACAATTACTGCTCTGGGTTAATCTGGTATTACTCTTACTTTATCTACAATGAGGAAAAATTGCAGCCACCTAAAACCGTGTTTGTCAGCTTTTTATTTTTTTATTTTTTTGCTTTTTGTGATAGATTTGTCGAGCCTCAATTGTTTGACTGCCTTAGATATGAAGCTTTAGTCTGTTGAGGCTTTTTCATCTTTGTGACTGAATGCTTGTTTGGCTTCCAAATTGCAGTCAGTTTTTGTTACTATTTTATAATTTGATTTGATGGGAAATTAACTTAAGATAGTGGGCACGAATGTTGACATTACTACTACTACATTGTTTTTCTTCTAAACATACGGATTAATGGATACAAGAAATATGTCTCCTAATATGAGATCCCATACTGGTTGGAGAGAGGAATGAAGTATTTCTTATAAGTGTGTGGAAAGCTCTCCCTAGTGAATGCGTTTTAAAGCCTTGAGAGGAAGTCCAGAAGGGAAAACCCAAAGAGGATAATATCTACTTGCGGTGGTGTTGGGCCCTTACCTACAAAGAGTTGTTACACCTAATTTCTCATTTACTCTTTATTACTCGTTTGTTTGTTAATTGTTCCCTTGCTTTTATGCAGGGGTGAAAGAAGAGATGGATACAGTAGCACATCCAAAGCAAGAACCGTTCCTTATAGCAAGGTCCGTCTGAAAATAATAGTACTGCCCATTTTCTTTTATCTGTCAATCTAAAATTATGGTACACTTTTATCCTTATCTTTGCTCTTTGCTTGTTTAAGCTTTAATTTGGTGCTTACTCTTTATGGTAGCTAAATAGGAGTTCTGACCTTTCTCTCAAAAATGTGATGTTATATGTACTTTATCTGTACCACAATTAATGAGCTATGTTCCTGATTAATTGGTCCCATTGTATGAACGTTGGGATAACCATAGTCATGGCTTAGGCAATATTTCACCAACTTCTATTTATCTATATCCACGGGATATTTAACTAGCTAGATAGAGGCTGACTTTTTTTTTTCTTCTACTTCTTAAAGAATAGTAAATACTTGTTGTGAAACAAGAGTCCCTTTCAGTAGCTTAACTGTTAAGATCACCGCATCTCCTTCTCTTTGGCCAATATGAGTTTACCCATGGTATGGTAATTGACTAATTGTACAGAGAAAAGTTTCTCTTGTTTACCACTGGCCAATAACTGTTTGTAAGCAGTCGGCTACTGGAAGTTTCAAATCATTACCTCAACAAAATTATCTAATGATGAGTAGCTATTATTTTTTTTCAGAGGCAGTGTGCTATAATTTATGGGGAAGATGAGTCCAATGTTGAGCTTCCACGGGAATTTGTTGAACATAAGAAGGCATATTTTTCAGAAGTAGATGCGTTTGAACTACCAGAGGAGGAGGCTAAATCATCCGACTCAGAGTAGACGACGGTTTTTTATAGTTATAACCATTCAAGTTAGTAGTCTGTATTGTTTAAGTTCATGTTCATTACTCATAGAAACGGCTTGCTCTATTCTGTCATTCATTTAATATTCAGTGTAATTTTGGAAGCATGAAACTAACGCCATAAAGTTTGATCAATAGTTTTGTCAAGTCTAAAAATTAACCAATAATAGCATTTAAGTGCTACACAAAATTAAACTTCAACATCTTCTGACTTTGTAATCTTTATCTGATTAACTATTAATCTATTCTGCAGACTGTTAAACTTTAATTATTGGAAGATTATAGTTCTTACCTAATCCCTCTCGCTTTTCCATTTTATCGGCTCAGAAAAGTATAAACCTGCATGCCTATGTTCTTCTTTTTCACCCTTTTATCCATTGCCCATCACATCTCCTTTCTTTAGACGCTACTGTTTTCTTAATGAATTGGTACAAACCTTTCTGGAAGTAAAAGAAGTTTGAAATTATCCCATTCATTTAAAGCAAAGTGAGAATCAAATATTTAATCATGACACAATCAACGCATGCATCCATTCAAAAGTAAAAGCCTTGATTCCCTCGGATTTCTACTTCTCTAATCAATCACTTTAAGTGTCTAGAAAAATAATTGGGCATCTCTTCCATTTTTCAACACAGCCATCTTTGAAGTTTCCTTGCAGTTTATGAACATTATTCCCATGCAAATGCCTGATTGGACCTCTTCCTTTTGACTTTACCATTTCCATTATACTAAAACTGGCAGTGTTCTTTGACAAAAAAACATCTTCCAAATCAAAAGCACCGTTCTTCTTCATTCAAACCTCTTAATTTACCTCCATCTGCCCTTTCTGCCTTTCTGGTTTTTGTTACTTTTCCAAGTGTTGAAACTTTGAAAAAATTGGCTCCCCCATGCAATTCCATTTCTATGAGTTAGGTTCACCTGCCAAAGCCATGGACTTTATAAGAACCCCCCACACTCCCTCCTTCTTCATCAACACTACTCGGGAA